AAAAGAAGATTACTTTCACTGAAAGAACTGAAGTGTTCCTCTTCTTCACTCTTTTTACAATACACAGAGGAAAGGTATACATGAGCTCATAATTACAGCATGACTGGGAGCCCCCGGTGGTCTAGGGGAAAAGACACTGCACTGTCACTGCAGAGACCCGGGTTCGATTCCCGGTCGGGGCCCCTCCCCAGGCAGATGGAGCTCGTTAGCCCCTAAGGCAGTCCATCTACGTCCTGAGGACCTCGCTGCCACCGTCCAAGCGTGCTTGGCCCCGGCAGACGAACCTCAGGATTAAAGGGTGGGCTCAGTTCCGCGCACACTGTGTCTCACCTAAAAAATCCAATGCGCAGGCTGGAAGGTGGAAAGACCTTCCCCGGTTCTTCGTTCGCGAAGAGACTGGCCATTAATCATTAAACAGCATGACTAATTCTTTTGTTAACAGCTCCATCAGAGCCTATTAACGTTGCTCTGTGATGAGGGTTTGCTATCAAGAGATGCAGATGCTTTCTCTGCCCCTTCAGATAAGTGGGATATCTCCTGAGTACATCCTGCCAGGGTGAGGCCACAACAAAGAAGAGCTGCCAAGAAACGTATTTGGGTGTCTTGTTTAGCAAAATTTTGTAAGCCATGGGTTAGCCATTAAAAACGTAGTTTTAGTCCCTTTTTGGTTTGGTATTGCACCACCTATGCTTTAAATCCACTCTCAGCATTTACAAAGAGACATGTTAAAATGATGCATATACTGGCATTTCTAGGTGTGCTTAATATAAAAGATAAATAAATTACAAATTAAGTATTAAAGCAAACTTGCATTTTAAGGTTAATCTGTCTTCATTAGTCTACCTACCCATCTTTTTCTTTTGTGTGGTCTTATAGCTAAGACTTCTAAAATACATCATAAGTTACAGTTGCTTCCTAATTTTTCCAAAGCCTGTGTGGCTTGTTATAGCTCATACAGCTTGAATTCCTTAAGATTGCGAGAATTAGAGCTTATATTATATGTATTTATATTATCTTTTCTTTGCTTTTCTGGTAGACGTGTGCCCTAAACTACCTGAGAGGCAGTTTATACCTACTTTTCCTTTTTTTAATAGAGTATATTTCTGTTATGTCCAAAGGACCATTTTGCAGGTTTAATTTTTAATTGAGAGATCATGGGTATTTTTCTAGTTCAACTTGAAAGACTTACTCATCCCCATAAAAACCCTAGACTGATTAAAAATTATTATACATAGGGCTTTGCACATATACTTTAATCCCACCAAATTGAAACTGTAAAATGCACCAAGAAAATGTGGGTAGAAACCACAGGATACATTCTTTCAAGAGCTTATAGAGTTGAATGTGAATAATTTCTAAATAGTGTAGGGATGTACTTCCATCAAGCGTTCTGTGCAGTGGAATCAGTCCTTTTCAGGTAAGAGCAAGGCCATATTCAATGCATACTTGCATATGAACTTCAAATTCATAAGGAATTTAAAGGTTTTCCATTACTGTAGGAGATTACTGGAAGGAAGGGTGCTTTTTGTGTTAAAAGTACCAGCAAGAAAACCTTAAAAACTTTTTTTCCCAGAGGACTAACCAAGAAATCTTACAATTTGTGTCAAGCTTACTTCTCGCATTACTGTTGGGATCATACACACTATTCTATTAGGCAATGATGCCAAAACTAATTAATATGTTTAACAGAAACAGAGGTATGATAAAGTACTCTGCAGAACTTAAATAAAAGGTATTTCAAGACGATTTTATGAAAAATAAGGAAACTTGTCTACACAGTGAAATTGAATGTCATATCTGTAATAAAGTAAGCTTATGTGCCCTTAAATAAATGGAATTACCCTCTATATAGAAACTGTTGCAAAATAATTGCTCTGTTTTGCAATAAATCTCCAGTTGCTGTGCATTGCTGTCCACCTACAGACCCAGCATTGGTCATTTTACCCCATATGCACTTATGAAATGGCTTAGACCCTTGCTATTATCACAGCAAACCTCCTATCTTCATTTAAACTTGTTTGAACTGATACTTGGTGAAGTTCCAGTGCCAGTATGTTCTGGTATAGTAAGGACTTGTAATTTTATTTGTTGACATGCTTTCACAGGAGAAGCTTTTGGGTTATGGCTGCAGGAAACAGATCTATAAGGTATTTAGTACTGAAAGGTAGGACCTTCAATCAAGTGTAGGTGATTAGTATTCCCTAACAATTGTGCGAAGCTTCAGTAGAGAACACTTTATTCTGTTCTTGTCTGCATCTTACAACAATTAAATATATTTACAAGTATTCTCCCAGCGTCCCAGTGTAGCTGAGGATCCCTTGTGGCGTCCTCATATTGCACAAAAATTCAGTGAATTGCAACCCACTTTGTGAAACTTAATGTCAGACAAATCTGGCAGTGTTCTGAGCAGCTGAAAGACCTTTTAAGAAAAAGCATTAGTCAATCTGAACTGTAAAGAAAAATTACTATCTTTAGCCTAGTACCCTACTGATTTCCATTTTTTTTGGCTCTATAATAGAACAATAAAACACATGTGGATTTGATTTTAATACCTTGAAGTTGTAGTAGAGTACACTACAAAGTGATCAGAGGAAATCATGAGGCCTAGGCAACCTTCACTAGCTGTTAACTGTATGGTTTAGCACTCCAAAAAGCAGCAGTATTCTAATGTCCTTGAATATATCATTAATCATCCACAACCATCTTTTTGTATGTGAATTCTAGGTAGAAATCTGGGGTTTTTTCCCCTTCCTTTTGTCTCCTGTTCAAGAGTCTAAAGTCCATACAAAGCTTGTTCATCTGCTGTAACTTTACAATGGTTGAGTTCTGTGGGGTTGTGGCAGTACGCATGCAGGGGCAGCCAGGTGGGTTGGATAGGCTTCTGCCATCCAATTGTTATTAATGAAAGGTGACAAATTCATATGACCAATATTAATTGTACAGGATGAAAGTTCTTAAATTCCTTCATGATATGTAATTTAGTCTTTTTTCAGGAATGCTTCTTAGAGTTTATCACTTTTCATATCTGTGTGAATTTGTAGCTTTTTTTCTTTCTGTTTAGTATACTTTAGATATTCTTATTGCCAAGTGCAAAGGTACATGCTGCATTTCTGAGTAATTTAGTTAGGGTAAATGAATAAAGAAGTCCTGGAAAAGCTGATTGCAGCTACTGTGTCAAGTCTTGGATTTTGTATTTATCTATTTAACAGATCACTTGGAAACTGACCAAACTTTGTCTTAAAGGTGTTGTTATTTGTGTTGAAGTCATAGTGTAGGACTTTTTAGCTTAAAAACCTTCACTTAGTTTCCATTATAAATTAATCCACAGGCGGTTTGGTTTTTTTTTCCTCTGTCAGCATTTTGCTGCATTTTCTTTAGCTTAAACGTAGTATTCATCTCAAGACTTTTACAACTGCAGCCTAAAAATACAGTGAGATGATAAACACAAAGCAAAGAAAAGAGTTAAGGAGAATGGGTAACACACAGGAGGGCTGAAAGCCATCATGCAGCAGGGAAGGTATGACATAGTCACCATCATGGAAATGTGGGATGACTCATATGACTAGAGTGCTGCAATGGATGGCTCCAAGGTGATGAAGGAGAGGAAGTGGGGTGGCTCGGTACCTTAGGGGGTGTTTTGACTGTATAGAGCTCAAGGATAGCGATGATAAGGTTGAATGCCTATGGGTAAGAATTAGAGGGAACACTAACAAGGCAGACATCCTGGTGGGAGTCCATTATAGACCACCTAACCAGAATGAAGAGGTGGATGAATTACTCTGTGACTGGCTGGTGTTTCATGATCATCAGCTCTTGTTCCTGTAGGAGGCTTTAACCTGCCGCATGTCTGCTGGCAGCTCAGCACAGCAGAGGCTGTCTAGGAGGTTCCTGGAGTGTGTACAAGATATCAGCGCTGGTGAGTGAGCCTGCAAGGGGTGGTGCCCCACTAGACCCTTCTGTTTACAAACCAAGAAGGGCTGGTGGGAGATATGGTGCTTGAATCCATCTTGGATGGAGGGACTGTGAAATGACAGAGTTTTCAATACTCAGTAAAGTAAAGAAGGACGTCAACAAAACCTTAACCTTGGGTTTCTGGAGGGCAGACTTTGGCCTGTTCAGGATGCTGGTTCGGAAAGCCCATTGGGAAGCAGCCCTTAAGAACCATGGGGAACAAGAAGGCTGGACATTTTTAAGAATGAAATCTTGAAGGTGCAGGAGGGAGCTGTCCTTATATGCTGAAAGACGAGCCGACAGAGAAGAAGACTGGCCTGGCTGAGCAGGAGGCTTTCACAAGAACACAGAGGGTGTAGGATCTTTGGAATAAGAGGCAGGCAACTCATGAAGTGGTTAAGGACGTTGTTAGGTCCCGCAGCAAGAAAATTAGACAGGCAAGAGCTTAATCTGGCCACTTCTGTAAATGCTAATAAAAAGTGTTTTTATAAATACATCGATAGCAAAAGGAGGGGCAAGGAAAACCTCCATTCTTTATTGGATACGGGAGGGAATATAGTCACCAAAGACGAGAAGAAGGCTGAGGTACTTAATGCATTCTTTGCCTCAGTCTTCCACAGACAGACCTGTTATCCTCAGGGCAATTAGCCCCCTGAACTGGTTGTCATGGGTTTACCAACTAGGCTCCCCCTGGGGCTGAAAATAGTTTTTTCCAGGTAGATTTCCGGAGCAAAGCCAATCAAAAGTTTTAGTAATGCCCCTTCCAATTACATATTTAAGAAAATTGAAGAGAAGGTGGTTGCGCAGATGAAATTAGGAGCCGTGTAGCGAGTGGTGTCAGGCCCCAGGTGGGGGCCAGGCCTCCTTCCTCCCCTGGCCCTGGGCCAGGGGCAGGTGTGGCACTGAAGCCCCCCTGACCAAGACATGCAGCAGAGTGGAGGAAAAAAAAACTCTAAAGATAAAGACTGCCTGGATGAGAAATACTGCAGAAGGAATTCCAGTCAAAGATAACAGAGCCTCCAAGGTCAAAGCTGGCAGCTGCAGGAGAGAGAAGAGAAGCCCGAAAGGGGGGCTCCTTCTCTCCCCCATTCTCTCTCTCTACCTTCAGCAGGGAGAGACTGAAAACTAAAAAAATCCCTGCCACCTATGGAAGACTGTTGGGGAGCGGAGACCTCCCTCTGCAGCTCATGAAGGAGCCCATGCCAAAGCAAAGTACATGAAGTAGATGTGACTCCATGGAAGACTTAAAATGAAACAGAGTCCTGCTGGAGACCTGTGGCCCATGGAGAGAGAGACCTATGCTGGAGCAAGTTGGCTCGGGTAGGATCTGGTGATATTAGTGAGGGATCCATGTTGGTGCAGCTGAATTTGTGACCCTGAGGGACAGCAGAGAATGGAAGAACTGTTGCCCAAAGGTGGACTCACGCTAGAGAGGTCCATCAAAGACTGTCTCTTGTGAGAAGGGACTCCACAAGAAACAGGAGTGGACTCAAAAGCCGTTATCCCTTGTGACCTTGTGGTGAAGATCCATAGTCGGTATGTGCCCCCTTGCAGTCCATGGAGGATCCCAAAGGGCCCAGGTAACCCCCAGCCTCTGGTCTTAGCCCAGGAGGGGGTAAGCCCAGCCCTGAGGTCAACATAGAAGAAAGAGAGAGAGAAAGACAGTTCTAGCTGTTACGAATCGGAGCTGTCATCTTAGAGATAACAGGAGAAGAACTTTTGAGTGCTGCAAAATTATTTAAAAGACTTCTATCTCTGAAAATGGAAGAGACTGCTTTTCCTCCTCAACTGATACAAGGGGGGAGGGGTATTTTTGTAAATACATAGCATTTTTGCCTAATTAGAATTATAGTATATATACTTCTTTAGTTTTTATCTTGCAAGTAATAAATCCTAATACTATTCTCCCCAATCAGATCTCTTTTGTCTGCATAAACCTTCTTTCAACGTATAGCAATTGTGTGGGGGGTGAGAGGAAACTGGCCCAGAGTAAACCCACCACATTGGTAGACAAGGACAGGGAGCAGAACAGACTCCCTGCAACCCAGGAGGAAGTGATTAGTGACCTGCTGAGCCATTTAAATGCTCACAAGTCTGTGGGACCAGATGGGATCCAAGGGTACTGAGATACTGAGGGAGCTGGTGGAAGAGCTCACCAAGCCAAACTCCATAATCTGTCTTCAGTCCTGGCTAACCAGGGAGGTCCCAGATTACTGGAGGTTGGCCTGTGTGACACCCATCCACAAGAAGAGCCAGAAGAAGGATCTGGGGAACTACAGGCCTGTCAGCCTGCCCTTGGTGCTCAGCAAGGTTTTGGAGCAGATCATCTTGAATGCAATCAAACGGCACATACAGGACAACCAAGGGATCAGACCCAGCCAGCATGGGTTTAGGAAGGTCCTGTCTGACCAATCCAATCTCCTTTTATGATCAGATGACCTGCCTGGTGGATAAGGGAAAGGCTGTGGATGTGGTCTATCTGGACTTCAGCAAAGCCTATGACATGGTCTCCCATAGCATTCTCCTGGAAAAGCTCTGCAGAGCAATCTGGACAGGCTGGATCAATGGGCCAAGACCAATGGCATGAAGTTCAACAAAACCAAGTGCTGAGTCCTACACTTTAGTCACAACAATCCCATGCAGCACTACAGGCTGGAAAGTTCCCGGCTGGAAAGTGGCCCAGTGGAAAAGGACCTGGGGTCAACAGTGGCTGAACATGAGCCAGCAGTGGGCCCAGGTGTCCTAGAAGGCCAATGGCATCCTGGCCTGCAGGAACGGTGTGTCCAGCAGGAGCAGGGAAGTGATTCTTCCCCTGTACTCAGCACTGGTGTGGCCATGCTTTGAGCACTGTGTCCAGTTCTGGGCTCCTCAGTTCAGGAAGGATATTGAGGTGCTGAAACAGGTCCAGAGAAGGGCAACAAAGTGGTTGAAAAGCACAAGTCCCATTAGAAGCAACTGAGGGAGCTGGAGTTGTTTGGGAGAAAAGAAGAATAAAGAGAGACCTTATTGTTCTCTACAACTACCTGAAAGGAGGCTGTAGCCACATAGAGGTTGTCTTCTCCTCCCAAACAACTAGTGATAGGAAAAGAGGACAGTCTCAAGCTGTGCCAGGGGAGGTTTTGTTGAAGGTTAGGAAGAATTTCTTCACAGAAAAGGTGATCAGATGTTGGAATGGACTTCCCAGAGAGATGGTGAGGTTATCATCCCTGGTGGTGTTTAAGGAAAGACTAGATGTGTCACTCAGTGCTATGGTCTAGTTGGCAAGATGGTGTTTGTTCATAGATTGGATTTGATGATCTCAGAGGTCTTTTCCTACATAATTGATTATCTGTGATTCTACATGAGGCTACAATTTTGTATTATTATTTTTTTCCCCTTTAAGAAAGACTCTCTTCCAGGCTGGTCACCCTAATAATCTTTGCCTGTGCCTCTTCTAGTTCAAATCTGTATCTTGCATGTAACTACATACCATTTACTGTAACTTCCCCAAAGGTTCTGTACCCCATGTTCCTGTTTAACCAACTGAGCATGTAAGCTAGCACATGTGCTGGTTTAGATTGAGGTGAGGTAAAAAACCATGACTTAACAGGCAGAAAAACAGAAAACCACACTGTGGTCAGCAAAACCAGAGTTGCTTTCCAATTTGGACTCCTTTAGGAAGAAAGAGAGGAGTCTGATGCTGAGGACGCCATTTCATACATAAGGCTGAAACAATCACTGTTTGGTGACATAAAAAAACATGCATAATCCTGCCTCCTTCCCACTGTCTGCACAGTTCTACCCTCTGTGTTGGTTCTTAGTCTTCATCTTTAGTATCAGTCTGAATCACTTGCAAGGCAATTCAAGTGACCAAGCTGGTATAAAGTTGTTTTGTTGCATTGACTTCCAGACTTTTTGCAAGAGCTTACCTGAGGTGGGGGGTGACTCTTCCTGCATCAATAAGCTATTAGACTGGCTTGCCTAGAGAGTTATCAGAAATTGTAGCTTTAGTTTAAACATGATTTTTATGCAAATGCATACAGGTGGTGAAAATAGTAATTTCCTTTAAGGTGAGAAAAAGGAATTTGCTGGTAGTCTGTCTCTCACGGACATTTCTGTGACAGTGATTAATGGTAATAGGGAGATTTGTCTGCATTTATGACACTTTTCTCAGAAGGCAAATGGTTGAGTTAGGCAGTTTTACTGTAAAACTATTGCTAAAAATTTCTCAGTAATTTGGTTTGGTTTATTTTTGTTTTTGTTTTCAGTGAAGGGAGCAATCTCACCCCTGCTCATCATTACCCTGACTTCAGATTTAAGACGTATGCACCTCTTGCCTTCCGCTATTTCAGAGAACTTTTTGGTATCAAGCCTGATGATTATTTGGTAAGAGCTTGGAGTTTTCCTTTGAGTTACAAATTATTATAACTATGCTAGCTTCATAGTGACAGAAGAGGGTGCTTAAAGGGTGCCTAAATAAGTAGTAAACTTTGTGTGTGAAGGAGTTTACAACTAGTGAATATTTTTAGTGATTTAGAAAAATTCTTTGTTTTTGAGACAATTCACGTTAAAAACTCACTTTATTAATTGATTAGAGTAACTTCCGTATCATTCAGGTAACTTTCTAGAGAAGTTACAATCAGTGCTTGTGGACTTCTATTAATTCAGTTCTAAGAAAGTACTCTTATGTTATCTGTGGTACTTATTAACTTCATTATAAAAGTGATGTCTGCATGTGTTCTTTTCTAGCATTGAGAAATGTGGGTGGCAAACTACAAATTAGGCATTTATAGTATCTCCTTTTTTCTCTCTATTTTATAATTTGAAGACTTCTTAATAGTATTCAGTGGTTTACATGAGAAGAAAGGTGATGCCACATTTGCTGCCATTGTAAAAGCAGCAGTGTTTTTTTTTATTATTTGGTGGAACCACTTTGTACACTGTCTGGAGAGGTATTCACTATTTTACTTCTCCTGTAGTTCTGCTTTTGGAAGGGTAGTGTGAAAACAAAGAGCGTGTTTTTTAGATGTCTGCCCCACGTCCAATTTTTCTCATGGTGGACAATGCAACAAACCAGAGTCACAATACAAATTAGCACGTTTACATGTCAGAGTTTTATTGTTCATTTTTTAAATGAGTTTTTAAATCTTTTTGTTCCATTATTGATAACTGCTTCTGTAAAACCAAATTATTTTGAAAGGGCTTGAATGAATAAAAAAGAAAAATTGATTAAAGTGTGCTGAAACGTTACTTAAAATACTACTAATGTTATGTGCAAGTGCATTATAACATTTTTGGTTTTTTTCTTTTATAGACAATAAGCCTAAAAGCAATACTTTGCTGGTTTTACTTTTATTTAGGTTGACTATGGATGTCCTATTTTAATTCTTTGGTAGTATGTTTGGATTTTGTATTACTAGTCCTCATGACCATAGTTCTATATAAAAATGGATAATTCCTTTGGGTTAAAATTGATAGTAGAAAGGAAATACACTTTGTTTGGAGTTTTATAAATGATAGAATCTTAGAATGGCTTGAGTTGGTAGGGACTTAAGATCATCTAATTCCAACCTTCATGCCATGGGCTGGAATACCTTCCACTAGACCAGACTGATCAAAGCCTCTTGAGCCTGGTCTTGAACACTTCCAGGGGTGGAATATCCACACCTTCTCTAGGCCACATGTTCCTGTGCTTTACCACCCTCACAGTGAAGAATTTCTTCCTAGTGTCTACTCAAAATTACTCCAGGTAGGGTCTTACCAGAGCAGAGTAGAGGGGGAGAATCATGTCCCTCAGCCTGCTAGTCACACTTCTTTTGATGATGCTGTTGGTTTTCTGGGCACACTGCCAAGAGAGCTGCTTTCAAACCATTCTTCTCTCAGCATGCGCTTGTGCTTAGGATTTCCACAACCCATGTGCAGGACCTTGCACATGGCCTCGTTGAACTTCATACAGTTTGCACAGGCCCACTCTGAAGGCTGTCACAGTTCCTCTGGATGGCATCCCTTCCTTCCAGTGTGTGAGCTGCACCACTCAGCTTGGTGGTGTTGACAAACTTACTGAGGGTGCACTGTCCATGTGACCAACAAAAATATTAAACAGCACCAGTACCAAAATCAAGCCCTGAGGAATGCCATTTGTTACTGGTCACTGACTGGACAGTAAGCCATTGACTAGAAATCTTTGAGTGCAACAAATTCCTTACGCACTGAGTGGTCTGTCCATCAAATAAATCTATACCTCTCCGGTTTAGAGAAAAAGATGTCATGTGTGACAATAGTGTAATTATTCAATATGTTGTTTATCTATTTCTTTTTATGGACTTGGCAAAAGATGAAGTATGTGGGCTGTGTTGCCAACTGCTAAAAAGGCGTTGCTTCCTAGAGTAAAGCTGTTATCACCTGCAACTTCTTTTCCATTTACGAGTTTTGAAGTGACAAAGCCCAAAGATTTACAATTTCACCTTTTCCAAGGAAGTTAAGTGGTAATGCACTATAGAAGTCAAACTGGCTAACAAGAGTAAATACATTTGAAGAGATGGCAGAATTAAGTTGTCAGCGGAAACCTCGTGGAACATTAGTATTTTGCATCTAAATGTCTTGATCATGAAGTACTCAATTGTCAGAGTCTTGGGGATTTTCTTACTTTTCCATTTCTGTGTGGCTTTTGTAAGTGTCCAGCCAAAATTAGGTAGTCTCTGTGTAGCAGCACTTGATGGGTAGATTTCTGTTTTACAGGAATAAGCATAACTGTAGAATGACCAACACAGAGCATAGGTTAACAGCTTGTGCTTATGTTATACTGATTTATTGAGCTTTAATGTTTTAGGATAATTGGTTTTAAATGCTTACCTCAATGACAGTGACTCATGAAGTTTATATATTTTGGCAAGAAAAATGCAAGGGTTACAATAACTGCTGATTTGCTCTAAGAGCTTGTAGTATAAGAGTGGTATGGCTGCTCTACTGGTAGAAAATTGTAATTACAGGATTAACGAGAAAGGTCTTCTGTATTAATTGGAACTGAGTGGACTGCAGAAACAGGGAGAGGAACAGAAAACATTTTTATATAATACAAAAGTCTCTTAAAAATTGCAAGCATGGGAAAAGCATCAGCTGTAGCCAGGATAAGGAGATGCATTAGGCAGTGGTTTGAGTCCATAGAAAGCATGCTTCTCTAGTTCAAGTGCTTACAAAAGAGCACATTCATTAGATTTTCTTGTATTACTTCTTTGCTGTCACCAGCCACTGAAGTCAATGGCAAAACTCCAGGATGGATTTAATAAACACGTTTTTAAAAAATAAAACTTTTTTTCTTGTGAAATTGCTCAACTCATCTCAAGCAATGTCTTAATAAGCCAGATATTTGTAACTGAAACAGTTATTCCTTTTGCTTTGAGAAGAGCAGAAAATACTGCACTACTAAGAATAATTCCCTGGTGCTTACACTACTCACAGTTTGCTTCCTGTGTAATTTTGTTTCTTGTAAAGACTGAATCCTTAAAATATTGGACTGTACAGTGAATCTCCAACTGTGTAAAACTGATGATGTATAACAAAAAAAAAAAAGGTGTGTGAATGAAAGTTCAATTATCTTAAATAAGTTTTCATGTGTAATATAAACAGATTTTTCTATGGTTTTGAGCTTAATGTCTCCACTCCATTTAGTCTGAATGAAGTTTGAATTAATGCCTTTTTCCTTCTTAATATGATTGTAATTTTTAATGTGTGGAAGAGAAATCCTTTCTAAATATTCAAAATAATGGTCCTCCAAATCTCAATTTTTCTTGCTTACTGGTATTGAGTTTTTTCCTATTTCAAGCAGTTTTCAATCAGAAAACTACATTAGTAGCTAATACCAAGATAATTAGTCTAATGGTTTCAATCCCAGTTTCAGAGCATAGGATTTGCTCATTTGTCTACAGTGAAAAACCTCTACTCCAGGTGTGTTTGTCTAACATCATCTTGTACCTGTTTCCTTCATAAATGGCTGTGAAAAGCAAACAGTTGCAGTGCAATGTCTTCTTAAGGTTTCTGACTCAGAAATTTGGTATGGTGCCAGTGTGGGGATCAACTCCCTCCAACTCAACCATTCGCTTCACTCCAAGAGAATCTTCACCTAGTGCAGTGGGATGTGAAGAGGGACTGTATGCTCAGCTGCCAGCTGCTCTTCCACGGTTGTGCAGTATGACCTGGGTAGAGCAGACTCTTACAACTGGCCTTCAAACCTCAGACGAATTATGTGAACCAGCTTGCTCTACAGTAGTAGTGTTGCTACAATTGAAGACCAAAGAATAAGCTTCTTGGTTCTCTTGTGCCTATTTGTACCCGCAGTTCTATATATTAAACTTGTGTTCGGTAATGCATACACTGACAGTAAAAAACAATTTTTATCTCTTCCAGTACTCAATCTGCAGTGAGCCTTTAATTGAATTATCCAACCCAGGTGCCAGTGGGTCCTTATTTTTTGTAACTAGTGATGACGAGTTCATCATCAAAACAGTTCAACACAAAGAGGCTGAGTTTCTTCAGAAGCTCTTGCCAGGTTATTATATGGTAAGTAATTGAAGACTGTATTTTACCTATATTTCTTCTGTTTCGTGTCACACTTTTTAAAGATTGAATTTCATTTGTCTTGTAATCTTTCATTGGTTTTATCTGTATTTTTTGTAATATTTTGGTATTTTTACCCGCCTTTCAACTTAGTGCTCCAAACACCCAACAGAAAAAATAGATGTAAGTCAAGAATATATTGAAGATAAGAATTACTGTTCTTTTAGCATTCAAGATGAAGCTGAATGTCATCATCTGATTTGATACCAAACTTTGCTTCTAATAAGCTAGTAACAAAAAAGGTTTCTAGATTTCTAATTCAATTTTTTTCTGCTCCATTTTGTTATTTGTCTACCCTCTTCATTTCACTCAGAGTGGACAAAGAAACTAGACTGGCCAGTTTCACTTTTGTTCCCAACTACTTCTGATTTCCATTTCTCATATATTAAAGCTGTAAATGGGCTGTAAAAGATATATTTTATCCATGTAGTTTGCTCAAAACTTAATTTTTAAATGGAGCTTTTTGAGGGCTTGTGCTAAGTCGACTGTATTGGGTTTTGTGTGTCAGTCATCAGAAAGGAAAACCATTGATCCAAAAGTAAGTAGAACTTTTTTTTTTTTTTTAACAAAACCAGTCATACATATGAACAGAGATTCTTCTGGAAGGTATGCAGAACTTCGTATTATTAGACCTGTGACAGACTTTCTTTTCTTGATTTGTTTTCCGACGTAAATACTTGAAAAATTACCCTCTCACTTGTACTAAGAATGAGAAATGTTTGTTGTCACATATATATTGTGGTATATATATCATAAATGTCATTATTGCTCTAAGTGATATGGATTCACTGTGTAAAAAAAAAAGTGTGTACAGAGATATCAAAAAGGACAAAGGTGGCACATACCCTTTTGTTGTTTCCAATCATGATAATCAACTCAGCATAAATTTGAGTTATTACAAGTACATATAAGGCCATTTTCTGTTGTTTCTGCATACTTTATTCTCACTGCTAACATAGGCAATGGTTTCCAAAGGAAAAAACTTCAATTGTGATTATTTCCTGTGAAAGTACTTTCTTCTGATGGTTTTATGTTGTGACTTAGTAATCAAGACTTGGTAATCAAGTAATTCAAGACTTGAAGTAGTTTTTTCCCTTCTTGATTTTTCATGCCAGACTGACAGTAGTTGTATTCAGATGGAAGATTTTCTCTCTCACCTGTTATCCTCTCTTATTTAGTTTTATTGCCTGTTGTGCAGTTTGGATTATTTCACACTCTTCTCTTCTGATGGGCAGTTGTGGTTCCGTTATGACCTCACACTCCAGTGGATGCTACTTGGTCATTTGGCACTAACCCTCAGTATGTAAAGCCTCATGGAGACAGGGATTCTGTTTTTCAAATTCCAAGTCAACATAATGAGGACTACATTTGACACAAACTTCTTTCAGCAGGTAGAATGCAAAGGTTGTTCAGGTCAGAATAAATAAATTAAATCTTCAGGATGCTTTTAGTTTTGGCGCAATCTAGCTTTAGATAGTATGTGAGAAAGAGAAACCTAGTATCAACGTCGTTACTGTTCTGCTCTTGGTGTATATAAGTTTCTGGGAAAATGGCAGTGTTTCTGCTAACGTTCTGAAGTAGAGACCCACAAAGCAGATCAACTGATTTAAGAAACTATGCTGAATAAAAAGTAGTACACAGTTTTCTTTAAGTTTGTTAATGTCCTTTGCTATGAAAAAACCCCTTTCTTAAGCATGGAAGTTTATTGAAAATAGACCTACTTAACAATATCTCTTTTGTTTTAGAATCTGAACCAGAATCCAAGGACTCTTCTACCTAAATTTTATGGGCTGTACTGCGTTCAGTCAGGAGGCATTAATATTAGAATTGTTGTCATGAACAATGTGTTGCCACGAGCCTTGAAAATGCATCTCACATTTGACTTGAAAGGCTCCACATACAAACGGAGAGCATCAAGAAAAGAGAGGGAGAAGTCCAACCCCACATTCAAAGACTTGGATTTCTTGCAAGATATACATGAAGGGCTGTATTTTGACTCTGAAACACACAGTGCGCTAATGAAAACACTACAGCGGGACTGTCGAGTGAGTAAAAAGTATTGACTATTTAAACTTCTATATTTGCAGCTACTCTGGATTCACCTTGGCAAAACACAGAACATGGCTCGGTATGTTGTTTAGCCTCCATTTGTTTTCCATGCTATTCAATGAGAAAAAACTATGGATGTCAGAGCACTGGTGAAGCCTGTTATTTTATTTGAACTTTTGGCATCTGAGATCATAGAATTGTAGAATGGAATGTCCCTATGCTTCTTGAGTACCAACACGCTAGGGTCCATGAGCACTTCCCTGGGGAACTTGTTCCAGTGTATGACCACCCTCTCACTGAAGAACTTTTTCCTAATACCTAATCTGAACTTCCCCAATGCAGCTTCAAGCTGTTCCCTTGCACTCTATCACCACACACCAGAGATGAGCCCCACTCTTTCTGCCACCCTCATAAGTAGCCAGTAATGAGTGCCCCCCACCCAGTCTTCTCTAAGCTGAGCAAATCTAATATCTTCACCTGCTCCTCACAAGTCATGCTCTGTAGTCCTTTCACCTTCTTTGTTGTGCTCTTTTGAACACATATCCTCCTTACACTGTAGAGCCCAAAACTGCACACAGTACTTGAGGTGAGGCTGTGCCAGTGCTGAGTGGAGTGGGACAATCACTTCTTTCAAACCAGTTGGATATACTGTGCTTAATGCACCCCAGGATACAGTTGGCCATTTTGGCTACCAGAGCACGTTGTTGACTCACTGAATTTATCATCTAGCACAACCCCAAGTTCCACAGCTGTCCCCCTACCTCTCTGTATGTCCAGGGTTAAACTGATCCACCTGCAGAAATAGAGATTAACATAGGAATGAAGTCCAGTAGATATTATGATGATGATGATAATGATTTCCACTAATTTGGAGATTTTAATTATTTTTTCCTGAGGCATAATTAGCCCTGTGGTACCATTGTTATGTATGATAATCTGTATGTAGAGCTGCAAGCTCAGTAACCCTTCAGTAAACTGGCCTCTTTGTAAGTTAAGAAGAGCTAGGAATGGAAAGGCGGGCCTAGTGGCAGCAGTCATATTTCTGGAGCAAAGCAGTTTTTTCCTGAGCTGAAACCCAGTGCTTAATGTTCACATAACATTTTCAAGGCAGAAGAGGGGTACATACCATTGCTCCTTGAGAGGACCTTGGTGAATGGAATCAGTTCCTGTTATGACAGAGAGAATTGTTGTAAAATAAGTTTTTTCTCTGTAGCAAAGGTAAGAAAATATAAATTAGAAAAAGGAGGAGTTATTCAGGTTTTTCATATTCCCAAGGTTCACAGGGTTGTGGAGAGAAAAAATTGGCTTTGTCTGAGGGGAATCTTAAAGAGTTTAGTAATAAAAAATCAGAATGGGTGAGCTGAAGTCAACACAGAAAAGGCATCCTGAATATCAGAGTTTGTTGTTCGCTGCCACCTGTGGTACAAGATGGAAAGCATTGTTTTTGCACATGAATAGAATTTTTTGTTTAATTATCACAGAAGTCTGCAATGCCTGGTGATTGGTTTGTAAAGCTGGGTGACCTAATGTTCAGCTGCATATTCAGTGTGAGACATTTATCTAACACCACACACTGTTCTTTCTGTAGCTTTTTGCAGTGAGTATTGCCTGAGCTCCTGCCATGTGTGATAATGCAGAATGCATCAGTATGTCACATCTGAGGATATGGATGCCCTTTTGTGCATCCCTCACTTGTCCAAGGTTTCTTACCCAGTCAAAGCGTGAGGAGATCTGTTATATAGAAAATAATAAAGGGAATCTAAAAGAGGGAACTGGAGTGAAAAGTAAACACAAGAGTCAATCATTTAATTGTTACATAAAAGGGACTCTTACTGGTTCTTCAAAAGTCTGGGTAAATTCTTTCTCTATGTTATTTGAGTGCTGAACTAATAATTTTTTCAGTGTGTAATCTTAGATTAACAGCTCTAAAGTTAGTCTAGAGTTCATCAAGGCCCAGCTAAATTTTAAAATTATTTAAAAAAAGAGGCTAATTATCTTATAGTAATTAATATAATATACATAATATACAGAAATACACATACATACATTAAAGTATATGTCTGTGTGTATCTGTAGATATATATACACACACTGAAATTTGTAAGTATGTAAAAAAATTAACTGGCTTTTTTTTTCTATTCAAATAAGTTTTACTCTGTGTCATAGGGAGCAGACACTGCTGTCTTTCATATAGCTGAATTTGCTCAACAAATGAGGTTGGATCTGACTACCTGCCTTGTACTTCCGCCTTTAGAAAGAGTAAAGATATTCCATCCATTTTGTGAAGGGGACCGTCTTGCCACTTTTTCTTTCTGCCCACATGGCATTTGGATGCCTGCTCAGTGTGAGTGATAGATTTCAAGGCTTAAAAACTTGTCAAAAATCTCTTTTTACTCTGTGGTGGGTTGGCTGGACATCAGGTGCCTACCAAGCTGCTCTATCCCCTTCCCAGCTGGACAGAGGAGAGAAAATAAGATGGAAAACAACTCGGATGTTGAGATAAGGCAGTTTGATAAAGCAAAGGTGAAAGTTTGTGTCTGCACAAGCAAAGAGAGAGAAAAAAAAAAAGGTTTATTTTCTTTCCCATCAGCAAGCAATGTTCACCCAGTTTCTGGGGAGCAGGGCTTCAACACATGTAGTAGTTGCTCTGGAGAGCAAACATTGTAAATAAAAAATGCCTTCCCTTCTTTCTTCTTTCCTTAGCTTTTATATCTGAGCCAACATCATATGGTATGGAATATGCCTTTGCTTATATTGGGCCAGCTGATCTAGTTGTGTCCCCTCCCAGGATCTTGCCTACTCCCAGCCCTTGATGAGGGGAAATGCTGGAGAGACAGCACCGATGCTGTGCCAGTGCTGCCCAACAGTAACCAGAACACTGGTGTGTTAACACCTTTCTATCTACCAGTGCAAAGCACAGCACTCTGAGGGCTCCTACATGAAAATTAACTTCATTTCAGCCAGACCCAGTACAGTCTCCACCCTTTATCCCATATGTTGCATTCTGGATTAACCTATAAACTGCCCAGAGCAGTTACATTTTTTATTTAAGACTTTTAAAAAGCCTTTTAGTTTGTTATAACCTCTAATTAACATCCAGAGAAAAAGTCACACACTGTTCTCTAAGAGAATTTTTTTAATTTTAGTGAGAAAAATAAGATATTTTGGCAAAAGGTTTTTACAGGCATAAAATACAACCAAGAAAAAAGCATTTCACTAAAACATTCAGCACAAAGACTCATTCCATAGGAAACACCCACTAAACCAATCTGTATAACAGCTTTGGTAAAACACAGTTCATTGGTTTTAAGTTACCCACAAGAGAAGGAAAGGAGTAATAGAAAGCTGATTAGAAGGGGTAAAGAAAGAGAGAAAAAAGAGAAAAGGAGAGAAAGGAAAGGAAAAAATGGTTACCAGCAGGATTTGATGATTCACATGGTGCCAGCTGAAGAAGAGGAAGAGAGAGAGAGAAGAGGAAGACCACATGGAGTCTCGTGTATTTATAGAGTTCAGTTTTCTCTCCGAGGCAGAATATCTGGTCAGTGCCTTCCAGGTCCGAATGAATTGTGCTGTAGGCAGTCACAGGCTGCAGGAGTGTGGTGTGGATGGGCTGCCAGGGAGCTCAGCCCTGACTGACAGCCTGGCTGCAGAGCCTTCAGCCTGGCCATGTGCTCTGCACGGGCTGCAGGCCTTGCCTTCAGCTTTGCCCTGCACCCTCAGCACAGGCTGGTGTGCAGACCTTACCACATTCCTGCAGGTCCAGGCCCAGCCCTTCCCCACACACATGCACACACACACACACACACACAGTGAGTTGGTTCCAACCCATATCAATAATTCAGTGAGGTTCGGATCCAGGATCTCACATTGTATCATTTACATCACACTCAGTCCTCACATGATTTATATATCTTCTAACTTTTCCACTGTATTTATTTCTCATTACAGAAATCCCTTCTTACCAACACATACAACTTAAACTATATCCTTAAACCATCTTTATATCCATAGTACAGATTTGTACATTTTCATTAACTACTATCCCCCGTTCTTTTACATATGGATATTATTTTTCCATTTTGTGGGCTTCTTCCACCCCTCCAGATTCATGATTAGAGCTCCATTCCTCAGGATGGGTGTTCAGGACAGGAGACCAGCACAATCAGTCAGTGAGCACCAACATCAGCCCAGGTTGAGTCATTGTTGCCTGCTCCTTGCTCCTCACAAAATTCACTCTGGATCAGTTTATATCATTCCTGCTACTTTATGTCCTGCAACATACAACCTACTTCACAGATTATTTTTCCTCCGAAGTCAAGTCTCCTTGAGGCACACACCAGGTTACACCATCCCTCCACATTATCCACCAAGTACACCCTGGTCACTGATCAAAGACAGTCCCACAGGTGGGTTTGCCTTTTCCCATGGGAGGAGAAATCCATACCAACTTACCAGACACTTCCCCATGTGTAGTACAGAGATCTTATCTCCTCCCAAAGTATGTAGGGGTTTTGTTTGGCCAGGACCAGGGCAGTTGGCAGATCCCCTAGTGCTGACTAGCCAAGTGGCTTCAGCTAAATTTGCATCCCAGTGCTTCTGTGCCCCATTGCCTAAGACTCTTGACATAGTGTTCAACGGTCCATTTCTCAGTCTTCCCAGAGGCTTGTGTGTGATAAGGGATGTGATATATCCACTCAATGCCATGTTTCTTTGCCCAAGAGTTTGCAAGATTATTCCGAAAGTGAGTCCCATTATCTGATTCATTTCTCTCTGAGGTCCCATGTCACCACAAAATGTGCCTTTCAAGGCCTATGAGGGTGTTCTGAGCAGTGGCCTGGTTTACAGGATAAGTTTCCAGCCAGCCAGTTGTTTCCTCCACTATGTGGAGTGTGTTGTTCTTGCCCTGGCGTGTCCATGGCAATGGTCCGGTGTAGTCAATTTGTCAGGCTTCACCGTATTGGAAACCCACCCTGTCCTCTGTACCAGAGAGATTTTA